GTGCACACCTTTCATCCCATTATAGTCATCGTTCTTTCATCTGTATCGGACAAAGCCTGGCTTGTTTATGGACTTTTTAATGAATCAGACTAGCTCCTAACTTACATTTATAGTCAAACACAACACCTGCTCTAGTATGAACAGTTTTCTATGGCATACAGTGAAAATTAGATCTATTGTAGACTGTTTTTTTTTTAAGCTTTCTACAATGATTCCATTTAAATCAGAGCTGAATTGCTAAATGCAGTCAGTATTAAACTGTGTCCTAGTTTTGTAAGAGATACTCTGTGGGCATTGTATTTCACAGGTAGGTTTTTATTACATTCTAAAGCCAGCACAATGAGGAAGTGTCACAGCATAATAAAATGTGCATCTTAGTAATGAGGGAAGTGAGAGTAAGTAGAGAAGTCATTACTAAATCTAAGCTTCAGTAAACAAGCTATGTTATTGCAGATCTGTGTGACTTCCAAAGGTTAGTCTACTGATATACTTTCTCTCTTTGAACATGTTTCTTCATCCATCTAAAAAGACAGTTTTTGTTAGGCTTAAAAGGCTTTACATATGATAATAAATTACAAGATATGAAAGAGGAGATAAATTCATTGACTTCTGTGGAGTTAAATCAGGGCTGAATTTGCTCAAAGAGTTTACATTTGACCGTAGTGGTTAGGAATCAGAATACAGGTGCTTTATTTCAAGGGTAGCTTGAAACAAACTAAGTTTATATTGAGCAAGTAGCACTATTATAATTGCTTGCTAATTAACTAGATATAGCACTAGATCCAGTTAACTCATGGGCCAGTTTCTGTTCTCAGTTACACCAGTACTGAGATGGATGAGGAATGAGGCTGTGTCAGGAATAAGCTTGGATGTAAACAAAAGCAGAATTAGGCCACATAGGTCTGAATACCTAATTCAAATAAATAATGACCAGGCTTATAAGGGTATTACTATAAATTGTGTTCCTCTGGATTTCATTTAAAAGAAAAAGTGTTCTCTTGCACAACCTTAATTTTCAAATTCATAAACAGCAACTAACGAGAAAACATCTAGGCTGCAGAGAGCTTTTTTTCTAAAAAATAATTGGATTGTCTTTATGTTAATAGTCTTGACTTGGTAAATAGTTCTTCCTTGACTTTTTTTTTTTTTTTTAAAGACCCAGCATGAGCGATGTGCAATCAGTTAATTTGTCTCATAGCTGATTATAAAATGGATAAAATTGTTTAATCCTTGAAAAAATGAGATAAAAAAAACAGAAAATTAGTCATTCTTGGAAGAAGCGTGTGAAAGTGGCTTTTGTTAATGTAAATCAAGAAGCTGAAGAGCCCCTAAGTTTCATTTTATTTCATACCATCTGGCTATCCTTTTTGTTGACAAGTGTTTGGCATAGAGAACCATCTCTTTGCCCTTTAATAACAGGCTTTAACACTGTAGGGTATTAGAAAAAGATTCTATAACAGTTAAAAAATTTCCTCTGGGGAATACTTTATAAAGTGAGCACGGGCTGCAGGCATTTGCAGCTGTAACCTGGCTTGTGTTAAAATTTGGAAGGGGCTGCCTTGCATTCCAGCTCACTACAGGCCTTCACTGGTGTACAGCCAAAGGTTAATATAGATGTCACACGGTTTTGCTTTAGAGAGTCTTAGATATAAGAGTACGTGTACAGCTGTGTTTTTAGTAACCCTTTCATAATCATTTCTTTTAAACCTCATTTTCCTGCTTATATAAATCAAAGATTTTCAAGGATATTTGACCTGGATTTGAACTTTTGATCTTCACGTATCTCCCACTTGAAACAAAGCAGATTAAATCTTGGTCCTGAATGTCTGCTCATGATCAGATGATTTGGCCCATATATTAGGCCAAACCATCAGATTCCCCCCTCCCCTCCACCACTGCCCTCTAGTCCTGTTACAGTTCTCAAGCCTGAACAGATATGCCCTGTGATAGTTTCAGACAGTATGGATCCACCAATGCTTAGGTGGCGTGGAATTAGCTTATGGGGAAAAGTTTGTAGCAAACAACATCAAACAAAAATAATGAAATATTGTGTCTGTGTAGCAAGGAGCTATCCAGTATTCTTGGAATGTACAGACCAATCC